ACTGGCATATGATTGAAAGAGAAAAGAAATGGAGTATTGTGGACGATGATGGCCTATAAAAATAACAAAATAACCAAATTTTCATTTTTTTCCTAGTCTTCGCCGCCTATAAAGTAAATTTGTAAAAGTGTATGTGGTTCGTTTGGCATCGGCTAGGTTGCCCTCACTTTGTGTTAAACTTGGCCTTTGATTTTGGCTGTTGAATTAAATAGTTGATCATTTGCTTGAATGTCTCTTAAATGGCACCTTAGTCCATAGGCGGATATTTGGTCATATCCGTGGGGGGGCTTAACATTTTTATCATATCCATTAGCGTCAACACATTATTAGACACTTCAACCTGCAAGCTAGTAGCTCTCCTACTTTAATCTATCTGAGACCCAAAATATACATAGGTTTTACGAACATAAATAAATAAATATTTAAAGCTATTAAATATGTTTTTTATTTTAATGTTATAAATCTATTTTTTTTGTTGCAAATATACCTTTAACAGTATCGGTATTAATATATTTAGTTATGTTTTTCTTCAATATACAATAAATATACAATATTGATTTGTTGTTGAACCGCTCCTGCAACATGGAAGTTCGAAGCCAAGTTTTGATTCGACGCATTGCTGAAAAACTCCTTTCACAAGTTGAGGAACTTATTGGTATTGTTATAGCAACTTGAAATAATTTGTATAAATTAGCGAAAACACTTTTTGTTAAAACCTTTTTTACTTCATTTAAAGATATATATTCTTTGTCAGTAGACTGCAATATGCAATTCTTTGCCACTGCCATTTCTGACTTCAGTAAATCTTTAGATACACATCAAATCCTAAAAAATATATAAAATACAGGATTACTTTTAAAAATAGAAAACTAGAGTGTAAGTAGAAATTTATTTTTATAAACGATAAATCAATACTTACCTTATAATGATCTACAAAAAAAACACTTTCCTCAAGGTTAGGTTATGTCAAGTCTGAGGACCTCGACAATAATAATCTTATCAGTGTCTTATCAGCGGTAATTAAGGGGAACAGTTGAAAATAAATTCTTACATAACAATATTTTTTTTTTTATGTTTTGATTATTTTCTACAATTGTATCAATATTGTTTGTTGTAATTGAAGTAGAGATACTAGAACCTTCCCAGGGGGCTTGATTACGTTCTGGGGGGGCCTAGTCCCCCAAGTTCCCCCAATATCCACCTATGCACCTTACCCCATTCGGCCACCACTGCTGTTGGAATTATGGGAGCGTAATAACTAATAAGGTTGTTAAGCCCATGTAGTAAACCCATGTTAAAATTGTAATTATGATAATATTATTTTTTATTTTTTATTTTTATGTAAGCAATATTATACATGGATGGATAATTTTTAATTTGTTTTTTTTACTATGACAACAAAAAATTGAAATAATATTGGCATTTACTTTTTCTAATAATGATTAGATTAGGTAATAAAACATTCATGTTATAAGAAATGCAGGTATTAAATAAACGATTGCTAATTAGTAAAATAAAATAAAATTGTACTCACTTAGTTTTTCTGGTAACGACAACAACGGAAAAAGGAAAATGAAGTCGTAATAATCGAAAAATCATATTTCATAAAGATAAAACCTAAATTTTATCTCTACTATCGACTATTGCGTTACATGTAAAGATAGGGTATTTTCGGATATAAATAAAACCGAACGAAATAAAAACGATACGAAAATTATTATATCTTTATAAAATTGAAACATAATATTAATACCTAATATTCAATACCTACACGACAAATTTCTCCACGTTGATCCATTTTTTTTGGTGTTGCCCCCCGGCCCATTTTAAAGGTTAATTATGTCATATGGACAATTTTATGAGCTAAAGCTTGCTGTAGCTTTTTCAATTCGAAAAAACATTCCGGAACGCAAAAAATAAATCATCAAAAGAATTTAAAAAAAGGGTTTTCCAACATTTTTTTCGTAAAAACCTTCTCCTGGCAATTACGAACGATTCAAAAAATATTTGAGCCAAATCGGCCCAGCCGTTCTCAATTGATGAAATGTTATACATTTTTGGCCCCATTTTAATATATATATATAT